AGTTGCTGCTGGTTTAAAAGAGAGATATCTGACATTGTAGTCTAAAATCATGAGCTTATACAGATATTGACTCTTCAGATCTTCCACTGTTTCTGGTTCATTTAGACAAAGAGACAAACTGTCAATAACAAGAACATCATTCAGTTTAATCTTTTTGGGAAAAAGGTCACTGAGGCCAAGTTTTTTGAGTAAACTTGTACAGCCATTCATTGCTGTATCACTAGCTGGTATATTTGTAAAATTGGTTGTGTCTTCGGAGAAAGACACTTGCTTTGCTGGTAAACTACCCAGCTGTGATGCTGTATCCTCTCCATTTGTATTTTCTTCTTTCATGTTTGATTGCCTTATAAAAGAATTCAACTCTTCTTCAAGGAGTTCCCAGTTTCCATGAGATTTTTCAACCAGTAATTTAATTGCATTTGAAATGTTGTCCTTCAGGTGAGATTTAATTAACTCTAACCGTGCTTCTTTTTTCTCAGAGGAAATATATTCTTCATCTCTGGATAAAGTCAGCATTTTCAGAAACACATAGGCTTGAGCTTTTGATGCACTTTGCTCTTTCAGAGAGCAATATTCCTTGTAAGATCTTTCTATCTCATTTTGCAAGAAGCTGATTTCTTCACAATCCAGAAGATGATTAAATGTCTTGCTCTCACAGCAGTATCCCAAAGCATCAATAGTGGACAGAACCAAGAGTTCAGCTTCATGTTGTTGCTGGTCACTTAGAGTTTGACACAAGGAGTTCAGTGACTTGGTAACAGTGCATGTGGCTTTTACTGTGTGTTCACTGAAGGCGCACTTACCTAATTCTTTTTTGTTTTCTTTGAGGATCTTCATTAGTTCTGGAATATCTGACACTGGAATATGTGTGTTTACATTTTCCTCAGGCTGATATGCCCACTTCATTATTTCCCTTTTTTTTGAGAAGTTTTTCACTGCATCGTGAGGTTCTAGAACAGCACGCATCAAAAATCTAAGATATATAGCCTGTTCATTTTTGTTTTCTGTAACAATGTCCAACAAGAAATTTTGAAGTGTTGGATTTGAGAGACATGTTTCAACCCAAGTTTTGTCTGATCCCGTTTCATTTTTCAGTTTCTTTTTTAAATCTAGTAACTCCATCAGGTGAGTATCACCTTCTGAGGTTGTCCAGTCCTTAACAGTTTGAATCATTTTCCTTGCATTTTCAACAGCAGACAGAATATTTTCTCCCCACATTGGTTCCACACTTTGATTTGTAACATCACTGAATATCTCCCTTAAACAATTTGCTAAACTGCATACATCTTTGAAGACATCACTGTGAGCTGCCATTATTATCTCCCACACTGGAACAAAGGTGGTTCCTCTGTCAATTACACTCCAGGTTTTGTTGCCGGTGTCAAGATGTGACTTCCACTGAAAGTGGTCATCAATATGAGCTGGACCACCAGTCTTTTGTACAGACAAGCAAACTTGACTCATGAGGGCTTCATTGTAATTTCTTTGAAGAGCACCTTTCAGCTGTGTAGATGTTGTTGTTACTCCAGCTGAGAAGTTCAGTGAAAGACCACTATATGCAGCACCAACATACACATTTAGGGCATCTGATGTTAAGCTCTTCACCTCTGAAAGCTCACTAGTTTTAAAGCCTTTAGCAGATGCTCTCCACCAGAATACTCCCCCAAAATGTATAGGGCCCTGATTCACATGTGAGCCAAATCTTTTGAAAAAATTTACAACTTTGTGTGTGAGCACTTCTTGATCATTTGAATTTAAAAGGATTGTTTCAATTGATTTTAGTTCCTGAATGGCTCCATCAAGCAATTTCAGTTTCTCTTTGTCTAAGAAGCTGGAAGCCAAAGGCACATAGTTGTACTTTATGCAATATATATGAGACTGTTCACATGACTGTTCATTTGACTTTTCTTCTTCTTCGGATCTATTTACTTCTGATGTGTTTTCAAAGCTGAAGCCCCGAAATCCAATTTTCAAAGCATTAGTAAAACTGAAACCCAGTCTTTCCATGGCCTTTTGAAAAACTGACTCTGACTTGTGGGAAGAAAATTCTTTCTGTTCATACATTACACTCTGCTCAGGTCCACAAAGTGAGAAAGATTCAGGGATCTCAATCAGCTGCTGTCTTGTTTCCAGCAGGTCTTTCAAATTCCCAGTTTTGTAAACACCTTGGAGACACAAACCTCCAGATGCACTTTTCAGAACATCCTCATCTGAAATGTTCTCTAGTGAGAATGAGGAGCTTTCCAAAACATTGAGTTTACTATAAATATTCTCTATGAGATCTTTTAAAGTTTGACCTTGAGCCCAACTTTCTTTTGGGACATCCAATGCTACTCGGATCCGATCTTCAGTGTCTTTCACCATAGGGTCATTTTGATCTTTGCCTTCCTTTAACAAGTTCTTAAGCTCATCTAGAGCTTTCCTCAGATTCTTCTGTGTCTCCTCAAATGATTCATTTCTCTTCTGTTTTGTCCCACTTTGAATTTCTTGAGATGACTCCATTATCCTTTATTCAACAAATACTCTGAATTCTTGTTTTACAAATCAACAGTAAGTGTTACTCGAGTTTTATACCTTAATTTACCTTCATAGAGAGCCTTCAAGTGAAAAAAACAATCCAAGGTTTCACTTCAAGGTGTATCATTTTTGGTGCCAATTCTTCCCTTTTGTAGCCTAGAATATAAAAGAATAAAATAATTTCAGTCCACAAAGATTCTGCCATATTTTTGCAAAATAATAGGAAGATAGGAAGCAGGTACAAGATAAGTTTGGTGACAATATTTTCCCTGTATTTTTTTCATAATAGCCACATAATAGCTACATGTTTCAGAACTACACTAAATAGCTTCTGCTACTGCTAATGCGCCTCCCCTAAAATATGACTGTCGCCCACATGTGCAAAAATCAGATGCTTCACCACCAGCATCTTTATTGCTTATGTTTTCATTTTTTTCACTCTCATTTTTCTTTCAGCTAAAAACCAGCTCAAGTGGCCTGAAACACTGATACCACATAGTGAGCAGTTTAAATTGCTGCGTTTTCTCTGAACAAAAGCTAATATAGGATAATTATGCACGTCAAGGACACCAATGAAAAAGCCAGAATCCAAGTAAACCGGGCCATCGTACCTTCAAATTTGGAGAGTGAGGAAGAGGACATACTGTGACAGATAAGAATTCCTGCAAGAAAGAGGAGAGAATTAGATACTGGTAAATTCTATACTGCTTGAAACTAGACCATATCATTGCATCACATTACAAGTTGTGCTTCAATGCCCAATACTGCTTCATGGTTATCCTGCAAAGTTGCCAGATCTCGTGTATAATGTATGCAGATGATATAATATTGCCTAAAGAGTTTTTAATGTTCCCTAGAGAATTTTTCCTAACTAGATGAAGATTATGATGAACCACCTGCTGCAAAGAATTCAAGGATCTCAACCACACCAAGATGCGAGTTATTGAATTTCCGGAAGGCATGGTCAACATGATAAAGGCCAGGCCCTAGATACAGACCGGGCGTGTGGTCAACATGAACATATAAAGGCCAGGCCCTAGATACAGGCTGGGGGCGTGGTCGACATGAACATATGAAGGCCAGGGGCCTCATGTATAATGACATGCGTAGAATTCACACTAAAACATGGCATACGGACAAAACTAGGAATGTGCGTAAGCAAGAAAAAATCCAGATGCATAAAACTGTGCGTAAGCACAGATCTACGCACATTCCCTTTATAAATCCCAATGAGCGTGAAATTTTACGTACGTGAATTAGCCCACAGCCACCCCCCCGACCCGCCCATAATTATGTATATTTGCATATGTAAATCTGTACAAATACTTGCTTTGTTCTATGTTTTTCTTAAACAACAATGGATAAACCACGTGGGAAAAAGAAGTATTTCAGTGAGTGCGAAGTGGAAGTCACTTTTCGAGAAAAGAAAAGTGATATTATTTGGTGGTTTAAGTAGTGGCATCAGCAATAAATGAAAGTTGATGGAGTGGTACAGCGTGGCGTAGTCAGTTAAAAGTGATGGTTCTGAAATTCGCACAGTGGCTGAAATTAAAAAGAAGTGGTCGGACATTAAAGTTGACGTGAAAAAACGAGCGGCCGCTCACTGTAGGAGTCTTAACATCACAGGCGGGGGTCGCAGAATTCCCGGTCTCACACCCTTTGAGCAACGAGTTGCTGCAAAAGAATACTTTTATCGGGGGAGGGGGACACCGATGTCATCGCGGGTGAATTTTTCTTGTACCATACTTGTTTGAATTACTTGCATGTTTATGAATAACACGTAGGGCGCAGATACGGTGTTACTTTCGTTTATTCTTATAGACAATAGTACAAGAGGTGCCCCCATGCAGTGCCGAGGACGACACAGGCGGTGATGGTGCTGCTGTGCCGAGCACATCTTTGGGCGCTGGCTGCACACATTCCCGTGCCTCAGAAACCGGGGGGCGACCATCCGGCCGTGTGCTGACTGAAGCTGTGCTGCAGTCACAAAAAGAAATTGTGAATGCTATAAGATGTTGCTAATGAATTAAAACATCTAAATGATACGCTGTGTGATACTGAAGTTGTAACGCTGTTCCATTTGGCAGAAAAATTAGTGGCTCAGGGTCAGGTTCATCATGTCTAAGCTCTTCAGATACCGGCAAGCCACGATTTTGTGCCAGATTATGCAACACGTGTACAATGCGACACACTTTTTGCGGACTGCATGTATAGCAGCACCCCAGCAGTCTTGTCCAGGCAGCGCCAACTGCCTTAAAGCTGCCCTACAGTGCGCTCCACCACTGCTGAGCCCGAGAAGGGGGGGCAGCATTATAACGCCACTCCTCTTAATTCTGTGGATCTGCGAGTGGCGTGAGACGCCACGACTTCAGTGGGTACCCACTGTCCCCTAAGTTGTCAAATGGTTAAATCAAAGAAAGCTTACAGTATTGGGCCAAATTATAAAATGGGAAAAATCTTCTTACCGAGCAGCCAGCCATCACGTACCACCCCATTTTCAAGTTTGTTTCCAACACTACTGTTTCTGAGAATGAACGAATCATGGGTTGAGCCAGGCCATCTATATAGTCACAACATTAATGCAGGGGCGTCATAAGCATTTTGAATGGGGGGGGACACACACACTGGCATAAAACTAATGTTTTATGTTAAATGTGGGGGGATCCAAACGAATAATTATGAAATGTGAGGGGGACACGTCCCCCTCAGATTTAAGTGCAGCGACGCCCATGCATTAATGAGACGCATGTTCAAATCGCACATAATCTGTACATGAATAGAGTGAAAGTGCTTTCCATTTACATAAGCAAATTCGTTCTCTGAAGGTGCCTTTATAGCAATGTGCGCGCAGTCGATGGCTCCGATTACACTGGGAAAACCGGACATCGCTGCAAATTGTGCTTTAATCTTTGCCTGTTCAACCACAGTGTAAGGAAATTTTATATATCTGGGTGACAAGCAGATTATGCCGTCCCATACAGCTGGCATGGCGCGACTCAGTGTTGACTGAGAAATACCCGATCGGTCCGCAAGTTCTCACTGAAAAGCACCTGTGGCTAAGAACCCGAGAGTGGACAGAACTTGTAAAGGAACAGGTATAGCGCAGTTCCTCATTGTCTGCTTTTGTAATGCTGGCCCCAGTTCAGCACACAGCTCCAAAAGCATTGCTCTTGGAGATCTGAATCGACTTAGAAGCCAGTCATCATCATGGGCCAAGAAATCAGTATGATCCATGAATACGCGCTCTCTTCTAATTCTTCCATAAGCTATGTCTTCCAATAACGCAAGAGCTGCCATGGTAGTTGTAATAGTTTGGTCATTTTCTGCACCGTTTAATTGTTACAAATTGATTAAAAATCAGGTGCCGTACATTTGTAAACAACATACAATTAATTTCGGTGTATTGGATAAAGTCAGCGTCATGATTGTGAGTTTAAAAAGGAAACCACAGTAGTAATGACTTGCCACTGAGTGCCGTCCGTTTACAAAACCGAGCAGAGACGTGCGTACGCCATGTCTGGAGCTGCATGAGAATGTGCGTAGTGGTACGACAAGTTTTGTTTTTATACATCGCGACGTGAGCGTGGAAACAGACGTACGCAACATTTTTGTGCGTACGCACCATTTATACATGAGGGCCCAGGCCCCAGATACAGACTGGGGGCATGGTCGGCATGAACAGATAATGGCCAGGCCCCAGATACAGGCCGGGGGCGTGGTCGACATGGACAGATAAAGACCAGGCCCCAGATATAGACTGGGGGCATGGTCGACATGAACAGATAAATGCCAGGCCCCAGGCACAGGCCGGGGGCGTGGTCGACATGAAGAGATAAATGCCAGGCCCCAGATACAGGTTGGGGGTGTGGTCAACATGAACAGATAAAGGCTAGGCCCTAGATACAGGCCGGGGGTGTGGCCGACATGATCAGATAAAGGCCAGGCCCCAGATACAGGCCGGGGGCGTGGTCGACATGAACAGATACAGGCCAGGCCCCAGATACAGGCTGGGGGAGTGGTCAACATGAACAGATACAGGCCGGGGGAATGGTTGACGTGAATAGATTCAGGCCAGGCCCCAGATACAGGCCGGTGGCATGGTCGACGTGAACAGATACAGGCCTGGCCCCAGATACAGGCCAGGGGCGTGGTCAGTATGCACAGATACAGGCGAGGTCCCATATACAGGCCGGGGGTGTGGTTGACATGAACAAATACAGGCCAGGCCCCAGATACAGGCCGGGGGCGTGGTTGACATGAACAGATACAGGTCTGGCCCCAGATACAGGCCGGGGGCTTGGTGGACATGAACAGATACAGGCCGGGGGCATGGTCGATGTGAACAGATTCAGGCCATACCAATTTTGTCTAATATCGCTGGCGCCAGCAGTGAAACAACTATAGGAATAACTTTGCCGCAGGTCTAACAAATAAAACATAAGAACATAAGACATTTACAAATGAGAGGAGGCCATTTGGCCCATCAAGCTCGTTACTTAACTAATAGCTCAGAGTTTTAAAAATCTTATCTAGGTCTGATTTAGCTTCTGAACATTTTGGCGAAAAGATCATGAGGCGGACAGCAAAGTTCAGTTATTAGCAGACTGTTTTATTCCGCAAACCTTAACCCTCTGGGGTCGAGTGCATCGTCGGCGATGCAGCATACTATTTCAGTTTATATCTTGTTGAAATCTTAATGTAGAATCATGAAAAAAACGCTAGCTAAATCCATAATCGGTCTTCTTTTCAAAACGTACATTGTTTTAAGTATTAAAGTTTTTCAAATTAGGTTAAATCGGTAAAAAAATAAACCATGTCACTTTACTTTGTTTTACCTGCATCGGGGGCGTGTAGTACCGCTCTCACCCGAAGATCGCTATTCACATTCTAAATAGCCGCATTAGCGCGTATTCAAATCGCATTCGCATGGTAATTTGATGAACAGCGCAACGGTGAAACGCGATCCAGATACATCCCCATCAGCG